TGGGAAAGACGACGAGTGCGAAGATGTTGATCCAGTAATGGATGCTATTGCAGAAATACATATTTTGTAGTAAATATTGTATTTTTAATAAATATTTTGAATTTTTGGGGATTTTTGCTTTAAAATCCCTACAAAATACAGGTTTGTATTTTGGGGGGATTTCGGGTAAGTTTTGGGGGGAAGGCGAAATGGCTTCCTGGTAACACTACAACCAACTTGTTCTCTTAATGGCAGGGATGAAACGATAACATCTAGGTATCGATACTTTTAGTCGATACTGTATCGTTCATAAAGTATCATTGCCTACTCGGAATCGAATGAAAAGAATCGATACTTACTTGTATCGATAAATTTTAACGAACGATATTACAAGTACAAATTCAGTCCCAGTTTTAATTTAACGAAAACAAAATAACTGCTCACGCCACGCGATGAACGAATGACTGACTAAATCAATTGGAAAAAATATAAATCATACGCAAGGCTGCCAACTGAGCAGTAGAAAAGATGCGTTCGCGAAACAAAAATTCCAACTAGACACCTTACCGTAGAGTACATAATCTACCTATGAGCTTTTTTGTTACTTCTCAGTGAGTGACCGACCGAGTACCGATACAAGTACTTACTTTACGATACTACTTGTTACTATCGTATCGTTAAGTATCGATGCCAAAAGTACTTGGTATCGAAAGAAAAGTATCGCGTAGTTACTTGTATGTACTCGTTTCGTTTCATCCCTAGTTATTGGTCAACTTGTTCTCTTAACCACTTGGTCTGTGAATAGTGTTGCCGAACTATCGATATTAAAACTATCGACAGTTTACATCCAAAATCATGTACCCTATCGATAGAATCGATACAACCGATAGTATCGAAACTATCGATAGCTCAGAATAAGGCAATACTATCGAATGAGTGCAATACTATAGATGCTATCGATACTATTGTAGTTCGTTAATAACAAACTATTGATAGTATCGCGATTGTTTTAGACTAAAGTTTGTGATTGACTATAATACCTGAAAATTGTAAACAATACTATTGCAAATTGTTAAACTATCGATAGTATGGTTGCAAATAAAGTCGACAGTATCGATACTATCGATAGTTTTTTATTAACGAACTACAATGCTATCGATAGTATTTAACTCATCCGATAGTAATGGCTTTTTCTGTGCCATCGATACTATTGATAATATCGATACTATCGATAAGCCGATTGATTGTCATACGATTGGCTGGCTACCGATCAGTGTTGCCAACCTGAAAAAACTAAAAAACCACAACTCGCCTAAAAAAACAGTAGAAAGCGGTAGGTAAAGAAAAAAAGGCAGATTTCATAATTTTGCTCATATAATTAAATAATAAACAACTTTCTTAGTTACTAGAACTGACATCAATTGATATATTTATAATCACAGAAACATAAAACAAAAATCAAAGTAAAATTATTTTTCAGTTTCATTTTCAATTGCCTCATCTTCATTATTTTCACACTCATTTTTATTTTTAAAATCATACATGTTTTTGTTAAATTTCTTCGTGTGCTTTTCTGTGGCTTCGAATGAATAGCAATCAGTTATTTCGGATTTAGTGTGTAATACTCCTTTAATAGTTGTAGTCGATATTCTATTGCGTAATTTGGTTTTCATAATATTTATATCAGAAAATAACCTTTCCACGGCGGCGCTGCTATGTGGTAGGCACAAAAGCTTCTTTACCAATTCACACAATGTAGGGAATGTTTGAGATTTGTCTCCATTTCTTAATTCTTGTACATGTTTCCAAAAGTCGATAATATCGGGAGTTTTGTTTTGGTCGAAAGAAAAATCGACATTTCTTAACATTCGCCATTCTCTATCCAGTTCCGTTATATTATTTGGACAAATCTTTGGGAAGAAATAATGTAAATCTGCAATGGAAGGGAATTTCTTTTTTATTTCAGAATCGAGAATTGCTTTAGGATTTAGCATCTTTAGACATTTTAATGCTTGACGGTCTTTGTCGTCAAAAGGAAACCTTTTTAATATCTGTTTTGCAGCCTCGATATAAAACTCCTTACACTTTAAGTAGAAATTTTTCAGCTGTTCTTCCTCTAGTTCTCCTATTTCTCTCTTTCTTCTGATCAAATTTGGCACCATTCCACCAACGTATATATGTTGCATCGGTAAATGTTTCTGCTCACTCGAGAAGTCAAGGTTTAATATTTTAGTTTCTTTTGCGTGTAAAATATTTTGTGCTTCATTTTTTTCTTGTTCAGTGAGATTCAAATATTCAGCTTGTACAAAGCATTCCAAGATCGTTGTGTATGCGGTCAGTATTTTGTCGTATAGTAAATATAATTTCGGAGTCTCGGATTGCATTTCTTTATTGAGATCGGTAAATATAGGTAATGCAAATTTCAAAAACTCCAGGTACAATTCAGTTGTCGGTTCGAGAGCCTTGGAGAGAATTGATTGCGCAGAAAGTAATCTATCTACATGAACTGTAGCTTGAAAATACAATTTTATAGCTGGTAATTGTTCCAGAAGCCTATTTACTACCTCAATAAGCGAAAACCATCTGGTTTGGCTAGGGTGGAGTAATTTGTGTTTAAACCAAAAGAATGACAAATGCACTTCATAGTAAAAAGGTGAGGTATGTCATTTTTAAACAAAGTGACCAATGAATGTTTATCTCCAAACATAACGTTAGCGCCATCAGAAGCAAAGCCTATCATGTTTGATTTGTAAGGAATATTTTTTTCAACAAAATATTCTACTATTTTGCCATACAACGCTGTTGCTGTACCATCTACGATTGGTATTAAAGTCAGAAATCTATCTTCAACGCTGAAATCTAATTTTACTATTCTAGCGATAAGCGCTAAATGTTTTATCGTAGATTTATCTGTGCTTTCGTCAACAAGTAATTCAAAGCAATTGTTCTGTAACATCTCTATTATATTTTCTTCAGCTGTCTGCCAAGTTACATTAACAATAATAGCTCTAGCTTTTGTGCGGCTTATAGTTTGTTCGGCAACTTTCGAATCTGGACATACAGCGCAAATCAATTTATTCAAATGAGATGCTATGTTAAAAGACAGATTATGCTCAACAATAAAGCAGGCCATTTTTACTTCACCCGCTTTAGCTGCAATTTTTGTATCTTGTGAGTTGGAAGCTGAGGTAAACATTGATGTCAGTTTTTGTTGTTTTTGTAACTTCAAACTATTCTTCGCGTGTTTGGTTGAATCTTTGTGTCGTAACAGTTCGTGTATACCTCATTTTCTGCCGCAATTACTCGCAGAACAAAAGAAATAAGTCTCACCTTTAGTGCTTTTCTTTAACCAGCCTTTGAACCTATCATCTTTTAACCACGAATTTACGAATTTCTGTTCATATTTCACATTTTTCTTCTTAAGAGGACTTTTCCAGTCGATGAATCACTACTCATTTTATCAAAAACTTTGTAATTATTATTTTTCAAAATAAACGCCGCAATTCAAAGAAACTGTTCAAGGTGTTGTGACTTGTGACTATAAAACAATACCTACGCAATACAATCTTAAATACAATAGGCGTGTAGGCTACACGGTCGGTGTAGCTGTTATTCATAAATAGGGATTTCCCCGTGCATAAAAATATAAAGAAGATACTGCCATCTAGTGTCAATGCGTTTTATTACGTAGTGGTTTGTCATTGCGTTTTATTGTGGAGTGGTTATCAAAAAATGTTTGCATAGAAGTGTATTAGGTGGCGCTGAACGCGAAAAACAGTAGAAAATAGGAATGAAACAGAAAACATGGTCATCAATGTGAAAACAGCAAATCTACTGTTAAAACAGTAGGGTTGGTAACTATAGATGAAAAAACGGCTTATTTCTTAAAAGCGTTTAAACGTTGTACTTTTTTAAAGAAGCGCGCTTGAAAAAAAGCTTTTTCGTTTAAACGCTTATTGGCTTAAACGTTTAAAAGTATGCGTAAAAAGCGCGACGTTGTGTTGTGTTTTCGTTTAGGTATATCGTTTAAAAAAAGCGTGAAAAGTTTATTGTCGTTTTTAATGTGTTTAAGTGTTTTATTGCGTTTTTCTTCTTATTAATGAAATTTTTATTAAAAAGTTTTTTAAACCTAATGAATTGATTGGCATTAAAAACGAAAGATTTTCAATTGAATTTAGATTTTATAATAAACATTTTTATAATAGTCAATGAACTTTCCTTCGAACTTTACAAGCTTAGGACTGTCTGGAGTTAATATACTCGTGATCCAGGCGTACTTAAATTCATTGATTTTATATACATACTTTTAACTATTTTATATGCACATTAAACCAATACACAAAACGCATTAACACAAGCAAGCATGCAAACACACCGTACAACACCCACGCGCTCTTACCCCGTCACAGTGACAAGCGTACTGCTTTTCGACTTCGTTTAATTAAACGCTTTTAACGAAAAAAGCGTTGGTTATCCGACCAAATTTTAAAAAAAGTGCATTTTTTTACGTCGCATTATAATAATTCGCATGCTGTATTAACCGGCTCACGAAAGATGGCACGCCGACGCGGCGCTGTAGTCGCGCGTTCTATGTCTGTGATATTGTGAAATATTTAGTTCCAAGGAATTCCGCGTACCCATTTTTCGATACTGTAGTGGACTAGAAGGATCGAAGTATGTAGTTTCCTGGCAAAGACATAGATGGCGGGATTTGCACTTTTTAAGTAAAAAATATACTTGCACTTTTTTAAGTGAAAAGCTTACTCACACTTTTTAAGTGAAAAGCTTATAACGCTTATACTTTAAAGCGTGCTTACAAGCTTAATATTTTAAGCGCGCTTATTTAAGCGCTTTTCGTTTAAACGCCCGCCGCTATTGGTAACGCTGCTACCGATAGACTATTGATTAATCATTGATAGTCGAGTCGACTATCGATCGGCAACACTATCTGTGAACGTACCTTTCCGAGAACTGCGATTTGTTTATCAGTGATTTATTGTGAATTAAAAATAATTGCTAGCGAATCTTGTTTTATCCCAAAAGCGGAAAATATTCAAATATGTCTCGTTTACAAGCATGCAGAGTATGCTTGACACATCATAGCCGTATGTATTCAATATTGAATGGGCCACTTCAAGAGATTTATGAAAATATCACTGATGTTCCGGTAAGATCTCTCATCTCTGACTCTGATTGCCACAGTTGAGGTCTCTATAATCCATTTATTTGATTATGCATTGCGGCTCTTTTAAATCTAAATTCAATAATGTTGATGTAGACCAGTGGATTTGGAAACCTCAATATGATTTTTGGACACCAACAGGGATATACTGTACTTCCTGGGCCCAAAAGTTATAAACATCACAGTTATGATGGTTGTAACATCGCATTTTTTTGTTGAAAAGGTTTCTGATAAACAGGTTATGTATGAAGTAGCTACATTTATGCACTGGTAGTATTTTAGCAAAAAAATTGGAAATTTTTACATTTCATAATAAATAGGGGTAGAACTATTTTGAAAATTTTCAATGAGTTTGAAACCTTTTCACCAAAAGATACTGAAGTGTCAATTCTTGGACTCAGGAAGTACAGTTTTACCTTTGATTTAAGCACTAAGTGATAGATTTATAAATTAAATGTATATATTGAAAGGTAACATTAAGAAATAGTCTTGATTTATTATTAATTTGTTTTATCTGATTGTTATATTTAATTATCTTCATATTATTTAACATATTAAAATAATCTTTATATCGATGTATAATTTTGATTGATTTCCGAACGGATCGTTCTTAATGTTTTCTTGATAGTCTATGGCAATTATTCACTTCTAGGCGGTTGTCGAAGAAAAAGTGTGTTCCTTGATATAATTTTGTAAAAGGTTGAAAATAAAGTTATTGTGAATAGTGTTTAGCGGTCTCATTATTCTGAGTGAATCCTTTCAATCAGAAGTGGCATCTGAACGTCCTTAGAAGAGTGTCGTCCTGATTTGAATGAAGGTTTGCATGGAGACATTACGAGGTCAGTGACTACGTGATTAATATTTCTTTACGCGGAAGAACTAAAAGAAGTTATTAATTAATAAAGTGATAGTATACTTAAAGGAAAATTAAGTACAATTATATTCATATTATGTTGGAAAACGAAATGAAGAAACCGTGAATAACATTTTTTTATTAGTGTGGGTGTAACGCGACTGAAAGCGATTTGATGATCAGTGTACCTGTTACGAAAATTAGTTATAATATATCTAATAGATAAGTGGTATTTATAGTTCTAACACTTTGATAGGTATTTTGTTTGATTTATTTGTGTGTTTCTATTTATAAGTGTTTTGTTTTCTGTTTTTCTGTGCATTCTTTTCGCCATTTACGCTTCTGTTTAGAATTAATAATTTAAATAATTATCTTGTACTACTGTTTTTATTTTTGAAATGGGAAGAAAACGTAGTTCTAGTTCTAAAAAAAGACGTGAATCTAAATACAAGCGTTATAGGAGTTATTCTAGTACTTCAAATAGTTCAGAGAGTTCAGACACTTACCGCAAACGTAGCCATAAGTTGAAAAAAAGACGTGTTCGTTCGCGCTCTGTTTATAAGCATGGTAGCCTTCGTCGAGATGAATGTAAGCGCACAAAGAATCGTTCAAGAGACCGAGAACAGTCTTGTATTACCCCGCCGCTCCCCAATTATGTTCAGACTAATATTAATACTCCAACTACCAATCTAGCGCCCCATTTTACTGACAGCCAAAACACTAGTAGTAGTAGTTCAAATCAAGCAACAATTGTGCCGTCTGTCATACCGAGCAGTAGTCAAATGTGGCAAAATAACATGTCAAATAACTTTAACGCGGTTCCGGAGTTTGATCCAGCAGACGAGTCTCAAAGTATAGAATGGTGGATTCACAAAGTCTGTGAATGTGCTAAAATATATTGTTGGGACGATAGGCAGACATGTTACTTTGCTCTGTCAAAACTGAGTGGCTTAGCGAAAAAGTGGTATCAGGGATTACCATCATTATTATACTCATGGGATGAGTGGGTAGTTAAATTAAAAGCTGCGTTTCCTTCAAATGAGAATTATGGTGATTTGTTAACAAAAATGCTTAAAGTGCGTTGTAAGTTTGGCCAAACTTTTGATTCTTATTACTACGAAAAAATTGCTTTATTAAATAAGTGCGAAATTACGGGTCGAAAAGCAGTTGGTTGTTTGATTCATGGAATAGATGATAAGTTTGTGAGAATGAGTGCAAATTCGTGCATGTTTGATGAACCAGAGAAACTTTTTTCCTACTTAAGAACTGTTACCAATAGTAACGACAACAATCATATAATTAAATCTAGAACTAATTCTATGAATATTGTTAAAAATTCTAAGTTTAGTACGTCTACTGAGCCTCCAAGGGTGAATGATCATATACGTTGCTTTAATTGTGGTGAAACAGGCCATATTAGTGTAAAGTGTACCAAACCGCTAAAGAAATGTGGATTTTCTCATCGCTTGGGACACCTTACTAAAGATTGTCGTAAAAGATTAAGTAGCTTAGTTATAAATAATGCGGAGGAAAAATCAGAATCTGTGATAGAATCAGACCAATCCAATAAGATTATGTGTATTACTCGTACTGATAAAAACCCAAACAGTAAATATTACACATGGAGCACCCCCACTAGAGTCCGCATCACACAAATTTTGTTTGGAATCAAAATCGCTAAAGTCGGTAGGGTGCAGGGAGGTCAGCCCCGCTGTGATTGGACGCGTCAAGGTCAGATCATATACTCAGTGCAGCGAAGTGATGAGGGTAAGATCGATTTTAGAAAATATCGATATTTTCTAACGATAAACAATTTAGAATAGAGGCCTAGCACTTTGGTGCGCAAATGCGTAATCATACCCTCTCCACTTTCTTCCAACGTTCTAATTACATGACGCGACTAGTAACTACATACTAAATTATATATAAGCAACACAAAAAAAAACACGTCCAGGACAAGAAGTATTAATGCAACGATATTAACTACCCTAGATACAACAAAACGAACAAAATCGTGGCCGAAACGTGTCCAAAAGGTACATTGGACGATCCACGGAGGTCCGTAAGATGATCGCGTGGTCAAAAACAATATAATGCCTTATTTAAACATTGAAAGTCACCTTTAATGCATACGGCATAAGGTCTTAATTAAAATGCATGCGTCACGTTCGTAAAATTATACGATTTATTGTTATATATGTGAAAGAATATAGACCTTATTTTTTTTGACTTTTCACTCGCAATTCTGAATACGCTGTTAGCAATATAGCAAGTACAGACCGCGAAGAAAAGAGATGGCTAAGGGCGACGTATAACCGACCATGCATTTGAATATCACAAATATTTTAAATTAAATCAGTTTATAGTAAGTATTACAACAATAAAATTTGCTTTAAAGGCGTTAATTAAAAAACATTAATTAGATACCCGTCGAAAAAACGACACTTTACGTACTAGTAGTATATTTCTGCATTTTTTCACGGAACTCTTTGGCATCTTGACTTTTCAACGGTCCGCGTGTGACTGTGTACTAAGAAGTGCTTGAGTGGAGTTCAAGCACTTCTTGATTGGGACACATTTTGAGCGCTCGTGGTGTATCTAGGGTATTTAATATCGTTAATTCTATGTCTTTATCTAGGTCATAAACTATGCGCACTTAATTTCATACAAACCCGTTTAACCGTTTTAGCGTGAAAGAGTAACAAATATACATACAAATTTCGTTGCGTATGCGTTTTTTCAATTTTATTAGGATATGTTTGAAGTCAAATAAAAACTGTTGGTTGTATACTTATGACATCTATTATTGTATACGATGAAATAAATAGTTTTTATTTATTTTTTCCATTTCCATAGCTGACAAACTTATCGATAAACTTACACGTTTAGGCATGAGCTGCGTCTGAGTCACTAGCAATACACGTGCCGGTGTGAGAGCGAGATAGCATATATGATGTAGCCCATGCGAGAAAGGGATAGTATAAAAAGACATCAACGCGTTCACCAAAAAATAAATACAATTAACAGCAATTTAATATAACAGTATTTTTGTCTTTTTGTAATGCATTTAAACTAACCAGTGAAAAGTAATACCATTTTTTTGAAGACTGGAAGTTGTACTCGACTTTCCACACAATTTAATTGCACAGTACGGCATTTTTTACAGTTTTTTAACACGAAAACGAGAGAAGCAGTTCGATCAACGCTCGGTTACCGAATGAAACGATGTATCGCGACGTCTGTAGGCGTGCCTCACGCATAGGTAAAATACTACTTAAGCTTGGCGAAAGCGCTTGCCCTTGTATGCGGACTCTAGTGGGGGTGCTCCGTGATATTACAAGACAGTAAAAATTAATAATATCGAACGATTAGCTTACATAGATTTAGGTAGCGCCTGCTCACTAATACGAGAAACAGACGCAAAAGATATTCTTGATGACTGGAACCATTCTACCGACTTGCCTAATCTACGCGGTTTTGGAAATTCTACCGTTCAAGCTTTAGGTAATAGGAAAGCTACCATTGAAGTTGGTAATGTAAGCGCAGAAGTAGATCTTATTGTCGTGACGGACCATTATATGCACGTACCAATTATAGTAGGTCAAACTTTCACCGAAAATCAAAACATAATGATTTATAAAACGGCTAATGAACTGTTATTTGTACCAACCCCTAGCTTTGATTGTTGCGATCAAGTGTCAAAATATAAAATACTAGTCTGTAAAAACACAATAATTGAGAGCAACAGTATGTCTCCAATATTAGTCCACACAGTGTCAATATACACTGGAAGCTTATTTATAAGTGGAGGCTTAATTCTAATTTCTAGCAATGAATGTTTTATACTGCCTGGCTTGTATAAGTTTATCGAAGGTGAAGGTTATGTATGAAGGTGAAGGTTATGTATATTAAACACTAGTAAATCTAATTTGACATTCAAATCGAATCATGTTATTGCTAGAGGTTGTGTTTATGTGGAAGTCAATGATATGTACGTAGGGATAACGGACTTCTCTAGTAACCGTAAGCCGTTACCTTTGAATAATATTACAATAGGAACAGTTATGGATAAGGTAGAGCTTGGAAAATTTCATGAATTATTGCTTAAATTTAGAGATTGTTTTGCGTTAGA